AACGCGGATAAGATTGATGAGAAAAACGCGTTGCGTTCTATGGAACACTCGAAAATACGTGAAATCGTCTTCTCGGCGTTTTAATAGACATTGATATTCGCGTGACCATATATTACATTACCTCTCAGTATATTACTGCTTGTTGTAATACTAGTTATATTGCCATGCACTTATTTCTTAAAAGGCATATTATTACGCTTTTTAGAGCATGCGTTACATTGCCACGGGTTAGATTTCCTCATATTATATTGCCACGCGTTCTATTATCACGTTCTTTGTTACCTTGCGTTATATTGCAGTACATGATGCTGCCACGTGTTATATTGCCACGAATTATATTGTCAAGTGGTATATTGCGAGTTATGAAGTTGCCACGCGTTATATAGCCACATGTGAAGTTGCCACGCGTTATATCGCCACATGTGAAGTTGCCGCGCGTAATATAGCCACATGTGAAGTTGCCGCGCGTTATATAGCCACATGAGAAGTTGTCACGCGTTATATCGCCATATGTGAAGTTATCACGTGTTATATCGCCGCATGTGAAGTTGCCGCGCGTTATATAGCCATATTTGAAGTTGCCGCGCGTTATATAGCCACATTTGAAGTTACCACGCGTTATATTGCCACGCGTCGTATTATTATGCGCTACACTGGTATTTGTAATGTTGCCTCGCGTTATATTGCCACGCGGAGTATTGCCTCGTGATATATTGCCACGCGTTATATTGTCAGACCTTATTATTCCACGCAGTATATTGCCACGCGTTATATTGCCAGACCTTATTATTCCACGCGGTATATTGCCTTGTGGTATATTGCCGCGAGTTATATTACCAAACCTTACAATTCCACACGGTATATTGCCTCGTGGTATATTTCCACGCGTTATATTGCCAAACCTTATAACTCCATGTGGTATATTGCCTCGAGGTATATTGCCACATATTATATTATCTCGCGTCATATCGCCGAGTCGAAATTTTGAAATCACTTAAGTAACAAGTTTTCAAATCGTAAAAATTTGTAATTAATAAATTGAGGAATTAGAAAAATTTGTAATCAATAATTTTATGAATCACAAATTTTACTCAAACACAAAATGATCAAGTTATTAAATATTCAGAATTGAATTACCTCTCCAAACAATCAAATTACTAAATTTTCGATTGACACACAAATTTGCAAATCACATAATTACCAAATAGTTAAATTCACTGTTATGTTTTCTATTGACTAAATCGTTGAATTATTACGGATTTAAATTTTGAACTCCACCGCAACAGTAAAGAATTACAAATTGTTATAAGATTGAAATGAATACGGTACGGGACAGAATCAGACAAACGATACGCCATAGTATCTCTCGCCACGTCGAAAATAAGCTAGTATGAGATACAGGAGAGGGTTGGTTTGAGATGCAGAGAACGTCGTCGTCGCTGTCGACATCGACACGCGCTTGGAGATGGCAGCAATTTGCGTGGATTATGCATCCAAGGTGGCCCATATTTGCCCAGTCGACGTCTGAGTGCGACGAGAGAGTTTCTTGCACCCCCCGTTTGCCCGAGATTGCGCCTGTGTACGTATCAAACACAACCCTTGCCCCGTTGGCAGGGGGTTGACGCGCGAATCCAGCCCGACCGGTCTCGAAGTTAATGCACTTAGAGAAGTCGCGAAACTTTCCTCGAACCACGTCTCTAGTTCACCCTGAAAGCTTTCTTCTACCCTCGCCTGTAACTTATGGCCAGACCTTTCGTCCGTATAGATTTGAACGAAAAATAATTTCGATCGTAGAAATTTATTGCTTTCCTGGCAACCTTTTTCTTATAGCCTGTAGGAGATTGGATTTCGATTTGCCGCGCTGGAAAAAGTTTAACCCTTCACTGTATTGGACGTCGATTTTATTAGAATGCAGTTGCGGATATATGGCTTTATTCGTTTATTTAAACCACGTATCTTCTCTCTATTAATTTCCATGCATTTTGATGACGTTTTGAGGTGGATTCAATCTGGGTGGATTATGAGTTTAGTGGATTTTAAAGGTTTTCGTATAAGAAATATTTTCTGTGTATTATATTTATAGTGTTGGGAATAACACAACATATAATGTAATATATTGTGTGTAACACTGTGTTATATTAATACTATAGTGCAATGTTTCATGTACTACATTATAATGTTATTCGTAACACTATAATGTAGTGTGTTCAGTACAACACTATAGTGTTATTCACGACACTGTAATGTATTATGTTTAGTGGTATAGTGTTATTCATAACATCATAATGTAACATGTTGTGTTCAACACTTCAGTGCTATTTGTAACACTATAATGCAATGTGTTTAATGTAACACTATAGTGTTATTCATAACATTATAATGTAACATGTTGTGTTCAATACTTCAGTGCTATTTGTAACACTATAATGCATTGTGTTTAATGTAACACTATAGTATTGTTCATAACATCATAATGTCACATGTTGTGTTCAAATCTTCAGTGCTATTTGTAACACTGTAATGCATTGCGTTTACTGCAACACTACAGTGTTATTCATAACAAGATAATGTAACATGTTGTGTTCAATACTTCAGTGCTATTTGTAACACTATAATGCATTGTGTTAACTGCAATACTATAGTGTTATTCGTGACACTATAATGTAATATGTTCAGTGCAACACTATAGTGTCATTCATAACACTGTAATGTATCATGTTGTGTAGAAAACTTCTGGCCTATTTGTAACACTATAACACAATGTGTTTAGTGTATCACTATAGTGTTATTCGTAACACTACAACGTTACATGTTGTGTCCAACACTGTAGCACTATTTGTAACACTATAGTATAATATATTATAAGCAATACTACAATATTATGTGTTACTTCTAACACTATAACCCAACACACTATTAGCAACACTAGTGTTACAATCGATATAATTTCGACTACATCCATATAACTTATTCATACAAATATTGTACGCTCGAAGAAGCAAGATTTATTATCGCAGAATACATTTACTGCACAATAGTCTTCACAGCCCCTTCAAGAATGAAATATACGTATTGAATTCATCGTTGCATAATTTCTGAAAGTAACGATGCATATTTCCTTTATAACCGACTCTTTTAACTCTGTTCTCTTCTTTTTTCGAACTACTTTGTTACAGCGAAACGGCATTTTAAAGATAACTTTTTCTCTAATTAAAATACAAATAAAAATGCCGCTCGACGAATAGCCCGTAAGTTTATTCAGCGCGAATTTAAACGAAGAATCAGGTTTTTCTTCGAGATTACTTACGAAGTAATGATAACTTGTAATTGACTTTCGAAGTTTAATTTCATTCAATCTCCGATTACTTCGTGTTGCTGCGTTCGGAAGTCGTTCATAATTGCCGCGAACAGATCTGTTTTGTTTCGTAGCAAAAATAAAGGTATCGTATTCAGAATCTTGAAACTTTAATATTCTAGAAATTTGGAAATTTAGTGATCGAAAATTTGCTAATTTTCTACTAAAATTCAATTTTCCGAGCTAAAATTTACTGAAGATACTTCTATGAGAAACTGTAGCTTCAAGAGTTTCGAATATCCATAATGAAGTTTTCGTTTCAGGAATGAAATTCACTAAAGAATCTCTGTCGGTTAATTAAATTTCTGCTTTGATGTGTGATCAATTTAATCTTGACTACACTTTATCGCTTCTAGCTTTAATTATTAACCGGTGTCATTAACATTTTAATTATGTCTTCTTTTGATAATATTACTGAAGTTACTAGACGTTCATCGACACTGAACATTTAATTAATTTATCATTTATCGATTCGCTGCTTTCTTGTTGGATTCAGAATAATTTTTCTTTTCGTCCTCTTTCAAAATTATACATTTTTTAATTTTTATATTTGGTTATTTGAAGGTTACTTGAAATGAATTTGGTTATTGGGAAATTGGGAAATTGGAAAATTGGAAAATTGGAAAATTGGAAAATTGGAAAATTGGGAAATTAGGAAATTAGGAAATTGGAAAATAGGGAAATTATGGAATTAGGGAATTATGTAATTGAGAAATGAGAGAATTGGGAAATTAGGGTGTTGGAAAATTATGGAATTGGAAAACTATGGAATTGGGAAATTATGGAATTGGGGAATTATGGAATTGGGAAATTAGGGAATTTGAAAATTATGGAATTTGGAAATTAGGGAATTGAGAAATGAAGGAATTGGGAAATAAGGGAATTGGGAAATGAGGGAATTGGGAAATGAAGGAATTGGGAAATAAGGGAATTGGGAAATGAGGGAATTGGGAAATAAGGGAATTGGGAAATAAGGGAATTGGGAAATGAAGGAATTGGGAAATGAGGGAATTGGGAAATGAGGGAATTGGGAAGTGAGGGAATTGGAAAATTATGGAATTGGTAAATTATGGAATTGGAAAATTATGGAATTGGGAAATTATGGAATTGGGAAATTATGGAATTGGGGAATTATGGAATTGGGAAATTAGGAAATTGGGAAATGCGGGAATTGGGGAATTAGACAATTGGGAAATTAGAAAATTGGGAAATTGGGAAATTGGGAAAATGGAAAATTATAGAATTATGAAAATAAAAAATTGGAAAATTGGAATATTAGAAAATTAGGAAAATAGAAAATTGGAAAATTGGAAAATATGTAATAAACATCATCAAACCCTTACATCCCTAAACCAATCCTTCTCAACAACCACGAATTCGCAACTGATCCCCCCAAAGAAACTTCCGCAATAAAATTAATTCCCAAATTCATCAAACGCTTAATATTCCCCTGAAACAAATCCCGAAAATTCGCCCTGAAAGATCGGGCCAAGGAAATTGGCAAAATTTCACGGTGGATGTTCGTGCCGAAAGTTCCAGCGAACGCAATCAAACTTACCGGGAGAGCTTTCGTATAATAGATCGTCGCGAATTATAACAGCTTTTCACGGTTGCATGAATCGGACTGTTCTGAATCTGATTCCAGGGCTTGTTTGCGAGGATTACCTTCCGCGAGCCGTTGTTCGTCGGTGGGCCCGGAAACACAACTGGTCTCGACCGACTTCCGGTGAGGACCGGATTTAAGGGTTGCGTCCGGCATCTGGAAGCCAACGAACACCGCTATCGTTTCCCTCTTGCGCCGCAGGGCGATGCTGCGAACGGTTTCGACGTTGGTAAGCACAATTTATTAATTAAATCCTTGCAAATTTTAGTGCGGAAGTAACCTCTTTACGCAAAATACAACTTGTGGAGTTTTTTTAATTTTTCTCGAAGGAAATCTTCCGCTCATGATTCTTATCTTATTCTTCTTGTGAGGTTTGTGAAAAATTTGATGTTTTGTTATTTTGTTGAAATTCGTGTGAGAGATTATTCAAGTATTATGTCAAGGGTACTTTCAGTATATTTTTTAGGAAAATTTATGCAGGATTTTATTTTGTTGTACTTCAGTTCTTTAACATGGTATTTCACTATTCTGTTGGTTTGTTATTTTGTCATTTTTACAATTTAATATTTTGTAACCTTCCCATTTTACCATTTTAATATTTTATTATTTTACAATTTAAATATTTCACCATTTCAATATTTTACTATTTTACCATTTTATTATTTAAAAATATTCAATGCAGACATTTGAATTAACCACCCAATTCCCGCGCTTTCAAAAATGGCGGCAAATTCAAATAGCACACACGAGTATTCTTTTCGTTTTGCAATAATAAATTTCATCTACTGGCCCTAACATGATAATCAAAAGAAAGTACAATTTTAAGTAAAAATTCCAGTGATTCTCTTTTTCAAATATATTTTCATAACGTACGGGTATATTGAACCCCCCACTACGTTACTTGAAAGTGGCGGCAAATTCAAACAATCACATAGAACATTTTGTAGTACGTCTTTCTTTCAAGACTAATAAGTTTCATTCTCAGTCGATTTCAGTATGAAAAGTCGATGAATACATAATTTTAATTAGAAGTTCCCAAGATTGTCCTATTTTAGAACACATAACTTCAAACATAGAGGTTGTATATTATTTAAAAACGGTACATTCGAACATAAACATATTGAACATTTTTTAATATCATTGTTTAAGAATTTAAATAGAAATTTATTAAATTTGATGAACATATAACAAATCTAATTTATCCCAGTGAAATGTCTTATTGAGTTTATCAGTTTGACCATACTCTATGGCAATAAAACTCAGAAAAAATGTGCTGAAGAGTAAAAAGATCGAACAACTGTTATCTGAAAGGTGACTTTTCCCGTGACTCGGTGAAAATAAAGTGTCGATTAAAAAGTTCCCGCGTTTTCCTTATCTGGTCGCGGCAAGAACGGGCCAATACCATTCTATGGACTACCAAATCTCCATTGAAAGGCTCAAGGAGATACGTGTAATCCCCCGAAGCGTAACCTCTTGGGAGATAGCCTTTAAAGCTGTTCTCGGTTTCTGTCCAGACGATAGACGTCCTACCACTCCGTCACACACATCTCTATTCTCGGTCAGAATGCACAATACATCAAAGGAACACATTCCCGGGACCAATGCATTTTTTGGTCCTCGACCCTCGGTCTTCCTCTGTTCGCGAAGAAAGACCAGCTACGTGGTTGAAAATGGGGCTAAAAGGAAATGCTTCGGATGATATCAAAGCAAATCGCCTGTACGTCTTCGCTAGTCGCGAATACTCGCTTCTCCTTTGAACCGTTTGTGTTCCTTTTTCGTTTTACGGATAAGTAAATTATTTTCTCCCCGGTACAGAAGGGGTTTCAATTAAAATAATCACTGCTTGATTCGCTGCACTTTGTTATCCGTGAACTTTTTACGGGGTGGAACGCACCGGGCCGTTGCAAAGAGAACTGTTGTGGGGTGAGGGATGTTTGGGTACTGATACTGAACAATGTTCTTGTAATTACTTATTATGCAGTTTTATTATGCATTTTATTAACTCCACAATTAATTAGTAAATGTGGAGTTTAATATTTGATATTGTTTGGATGGTATTCATCATATTTTGCTCAGATTCTATCAAAGCACTTTTTACTTCATCATCTTGTCAATTTATTGACCTTCTGTTCTACCAATTAATTAATATATGAATTCATCAATCTATCAATACTATACATTCTATCAATTCTATCAATTCTATGAACTCTAGCAATTCTATCAATTTTATCAATTCTATCAATTCTATCAATTTTATCAATTCTATTAATTCTATCAATTCTATCAATTCTATCAATGTTACTCAATCTATCAATCTTGTAAGCTATCAAGCTTTCAAGCTGTCAAAATATCAAGATATCAAGATATAAACCTATCAATCTATCAATCTATCAATCTACCAATTCGTCAATTCGTCAATTCATGAATGCATCAAATCATCAGTTCATTAATTCATCAATTTATCAATTCCTCAATCCATCAGTTCATTAATTTATCAATCGACCAATGCATCAATTTATCAATTTTTTAATATACAAATTCATAAATCTACCAATCTACCAATCTATCGACTTACAACACTAGTGATCCGTTAATTTAATAATCTATTAATTTATTAGTCTATAAATGTATCAATGTATCATTTTACCAACCTATTAATCTATAAATCTATCAATGTATCAATTTACCAATCTATGAATTTACAAATCTATCAAGCTATCAATTTATCAGTAAGCCAAGTTATCAATTTATGAATCTATTAATCTACTAATCTACCAATCTATCAATCTATCAATCCATCAATCCACCAAACCATTAATCGATCAATCCATCAATCCATGAATCTATCAATATGCAAATCCTCTAGTCCTCCAATCTACCAATCGACCGATCTATGAACTTACCAATCTACCAATCTATCAATTTACCAATCTATCAATTCGGTAATTGAACAATCTATCAATCACCCCTCATCGAAATCTCATTTATCAGCCTCTCCTAATCGATCTTTTCGCACCATTCGAGTGCATATTTCACTAAACATCGAGAATCGTAGAAAGTGTCGAGTCACCAGTTACAAACACACCAGAGTCGACGATAATTACTCTTCCCTCGATAATGGACCTTCCGTTTCGAGTTTATCTCACGTAAAAAAGAGAGGCACGATGACAGGGCCATTCAGTTTTGTTTGTCGAAGGAATCTCGACATGGCAGCACGATGACGATACCACGGTAATTGATTAACACTTGATAATTAACGCGTCGACGCGCCCGATATCCTCTTGTCACGATTTTGAGCGTTAGCTAATTAACCGGTGTAAAAGTGCACTTTCAAGGAGGAGGCCTATGCGTTCCGATCGAGGAAATTGGAAAATTGTAAATTTGGAAAGTTGGGGAATTGGGGTATTGGGGAATTGGGGTATTGGGGAATTGGGGGATTGGGGGATTGGGGCATTAGGGAATTGGGGAATCAGGGAATTGGGAAATTAGGGAATTGGGAAATTAGGGAATTGGGAAATTGGGAAATTGGGAAATTGGGAAATTGGGAAATTGGGAAGTGGGGAAATTGGGGAGTAGGGAAATTGAGAAATTGGGAAATTAGGGAATTGGGAAATTAGGGAATTGGGAAATTGGGAAATTGGGAAACTGGGAAATTGGGAAATTGGGAAATTGGGAAATTGGGATATTGGGAAATTGGGAAATTTGGGAATTTGGGAATTTGGAAATTTGGAAATTTGGGAATTTGGGAATTGGGGAATTGGGGAATTGGGGAATTTGGGAATTAGAAAATTGGAGAATGAGGGAATTGGGGAATTAGAGAATTGGGAAATTAAAGAATTGGAAAATTAGAGAATTGGGAAATTAGGGAATTGAGAAATGGGAAAATTGGGAAATTGGAAAATTGGAAAATTGGAAAATCGACAAATCAAAAAATTGAAAAATTGAAAAATTAGAAAACTGACAAATTGGAAAATTGCAAAACTGCAATTCGAAAAACCGAAAAAATTAAAAACCTTATAATTTGTAAATTTAAAAATTCTTTAACGTAGTGAATAAAAATGTAACAATCATAAAAATTTACAAAGAGAGACAGATGAATTAAAATATGAAATATATTGCATATTTTACCCTACTATCAAGAGCCATTCACTAAATAAAAATATAAAAGTCAGAACGAAATAGTCCGCTTGTTCATCGAATACAATGAACGTTGCAAGGTTTTCTAACAAAATTTATGTGGCACCTGTTGTGTTTGGCTACATAGCTGTTAATTCGGGCAGCCAATATAACGCGGCTACCAAACGAAAATGTAACTTTGAAGTACCTAATTATGGTTCGTAATATTTTATCCCCGCCATTGTTGGTTCAGTGGAATCACGATCTCGAATGGGTCAATATAGTCAAACGATTCCACTTGATTACACTTTTGCATGATACTATGCAACATCTCTATTTCCTGCTGAAAACGCAGAGAAAGAAAATGAACATTTTCAATTTTTCCAAAACAGTAGTTTCAAAATGAAAAAATTTACAAAATTCATACCTTGCAAAATTTTAGAAATAGAATATTTTATTAAATTTCTTTCCCTGTAAAATTTATGAGAAAGAAAAATAATTAAATAGATAAACAATTTAACAGACAGTTCCCCATTTTTATTCAAATTTAGTTTACATAATAATATATTTATTTATTACTGTAAATGTGACAACTTAAGTTATTATATTTGAACAAGTACCTCGCAAATGTGGCGCTTACTCAGCAACACATTATTAATTATTATGCAAGTACTCGAATCGTAAGGAGACTGAAAAAAGACATAATGTCAGAAAAGACACTCAGTATGTTAGAATTTTGTCTCACTCCTATTTTGATCTACGTTTAGTCTACATATTAATGTAAAATTTATTTATTACTATAAATGTAACAACTTAAGTTATTATATTTGAACAAGTACCTCGCAAATGTGGCGCTTATTCAGCAACACATTATTAATTATTATTAATTATTATGCAAGTACTCGAATCGTAAGGGGACTGAAAAAAGACATAATGTCAGAAAAGACACTCAGTATGTTAGAATTTTGTCTCACTCCTATTTTGATCTACGTTTAGTCTACATATTAATATGAAATTTATTTATTACTGTAAATGTGGCAACTAAAGTTATTGTATTTGAACAAGTACCTCGCAAATGTGGTGCTTACTCAGCAACACATTATTAAGTATGCG